TTGATGTTTTTGGTTGCCCTCCTTAAAGAAGGATGTTAAGGAGTTCGTGTTAGCCTGCCCGACCTAAGCTCGGAACAAGTCCTCTCATCAGCCTCCTGCCAGATTACTACATCCTTTGCCCATTCAAAAGAGACCCTGGTCTCACATTGCCATAGACTTCATCACTGGAATACCCACCTCCAAAGGTATGACCACCATTCTCACCATTATCAACCATTTCTCTAAGGCCTGACACCTTGTTTTGCTGAGAAAACTACCCACAGCTCCTCAAACAGCCCAACTCCTGGTCAAGCATGTTTTCCGCCCTCATGGGATTCCCCAAGATATCCTCACTCACTTACTTCTGGCTATCATCCCCAGTCAAATGGTCAACTCGAGCGCATGATCCAGGAGTTGGAAGCCAGCCTCAGGTGCCTGTCAGCTACAAACCCCACCAATTGGAGCCAGTTTCTCCCCTGGGTTGAGTATGCCCACAACACTCAGATCTCATCAACTACCGGACTCTCCCCTTTTGAAGTTTCTATTGGTTATCAGCCTCCCCTTTTTCCGGCTGAGGAGGCTGACATTGCAGTTCCCTTTGTTCAGCAACACATCTGCTGCTGCAGGGCATTCCGGAGCAGGACTGCAGCAGCTCTCGGATGGTCTGCATAGCAGAACCGTAGGTGGGCTGACCATAGGAGGAGGGTTGCCCCTACGGTCATTCTGGACCAAAGGGTTTGGCTCTCTACATGGGACATTCCCCTATTCGGTAATGTCCAGGAAGATGTCTCTGTACTTAATCGACCCTTATGTGGTGGAAAGGACCATCGGCCCTTCTGCTGTCCACCTTCGCCTCCCCTCCACTCTCAGGATCCACCCTTTCTTTCATGTCTCCCAACTTAAGCATGTCCTTTCCAGCCCCTTGTGTGCACCAGCTGAGCCCCCTCCCCCCTTGGATGTTGACGGTCACCCTGTGTACACCATTCACAGGATCGTTGAAGCCCATCGCCGTGAACAAAGGTGGCAGTATTTAGTCGACTGGGAGGATTTTTGGTCCCAGGATCTTTCATTTTGGATCCATCTTTAATAAGAGACTTTCGTTCATCTCAGCCCTCTGGCTCTGCTGGACCGCCGTGTGGCTAGTCGCCGCTGGGGGGGGGGGGGGGTGGGGAGTGGGGGGGGGGGGGGGGGGGGTGGGGTGGGGTTACTGTTAGAAATCCCTGTTTGTATGGGTTGTTTGTGTGTTTTTTTCCTCACCAGCAAGCTGGTGCCCTAATTCCTCGTTAGCCCCTCCTGCACATCTGAAGGCTCGTTGGATCTGTACTGAAGAGTTATTTGAGCTGTGTACTGTCACTACCTCCACGACCAGAGTGTTTGCCAGTTTGTAGGGTACTCTAGCCAGCTGAGATTAGCCGAGTCTAACCTAAGCCTTTGTTTCTCTGAGTCTTTATTGTTTTTGCTCTTTGCCTTTCGGCAGGAAGCTTTCTGTGTAACAGGATGCCTGGCCTTCTCCCTCAGAAAGATTAAGACGAGTTAAATCTTTGAGCAGGGGCTAAACAATCACATTTGCCGTAACAAGTCCTCCTTTTTCAGAAATCAAAGTGCAGTCCGCTCCATTGCTCATCCGTGTCAAACGAATGTCTACCTGTCCCCTCTCCAACAAGTTCCCTGCTGTTCCCATTTCTTTGGATAAAACCCACATCATGAGTGAATTAAGGATAAAAAGTAACCCTCATCTGTTGAGTCCCGCTCAACAGTAATTCAAGTCTCTGTCCATTTTCATACAGTCCCTGAACTGATCACTGTGATCTACTCTCCAGACTTTCCAGTTCCGGTTCACCAGTTCACTGAGTTGTAGATCCAACTACTGTACTCATTTCCTCAATAAACCTGTTTAACTTTCCCCTGGTTCTCTGAGTGGTTCTCTGCATGTGGGTCAGATATCTTTAAACAATCATGACAATTTATTAGATTTTTCATGGGCAAGAAACTATCTGGATGGAGTAAAGAGTGGGTAACAGTAGAGAAGCTGCAGAGATGTGTGTTAAACTACAACTCTGCTTCCTGGTCTGCACCCTGGATGGTCAGGGTTTTGGAGCACTAACAAATGTAGCCAAATTCCTAGAAAGAAGGTGGACCATCCAAGAGGATGGATGCTGTCTCTCCGAATCAGACCAGGCTTTCCCCAAAAGGATTGCCAAATATTAATGAAGCCCACGTTGTTTTCGGTACACCACCTAGACAACCAGCAGTTGAATGATGACATGCGGGTTAACATGTCATCTCACGTCAGATCAGGGAGGGGACCAGAGAAAACTACGGAGTCCGACACTGTTTTAGCAAACTTACATATAAAAGCAACAATAGTTTCAGTGACCTCCGATCGGCATAATCTGGTGTAATTACCGCCAGGGTGAATAACAATCTTACTGTATTTAACTTTATCCTTAGCCAGCAGTTTCAGGTAGGATTTGATATCGCCGGTTCTGGACCCTGGCAAACATGTGACTATGGTCCCTGGTGTCTCTAATGCCACGTTTCTGTGGTGTGTCACTGAGTGGGGAAAACAGGTTAGAAATGGGAACGTGTAGGTGGTGACCAGTGGGCAGAGATCCACGACTACGCTTTTTGCGTACAGTACCCAATTGCCTGGCGGCTCAGGCACATTTGGAGGACAGCTATGTGGGGGGCCTACTTTAACTCCTGGAAATTCGACAGCCTGAAGCCTGGATTCTAATTCTTACACCCTTGCCTCAAAAGCTACAAAAATACTACACTTATTACATATACCATTATCACTAAAGGAGGCAGATGAATAACTAAACATCTGACACAGAGAGCAGGACAGAGGAGAGGAAGAAGGACAAGTTGGAAAAGAGTCAAGGGAGGGAGAGAAAGAAGTTTAGCCAAGTTCAGTTTGTGCCTTCAACTCATTCGCCCATAGGAAGACGTTACTTGGATATAACCTAATGGAATATCTTCAGAACAGCTCCAAATGACACAATACTCAATATTGTGAGTAGAACAACATGTAATAACATAAAACCAAGGGCCAAATGTAATAAAAAACTGTGTTTTCCTTTAATAACAAATCTTCCTCATGCTCAAAGGTTCCCTGTGGAGTAGCACAGGGATCAGTGCTAGGACCAATTCTCTTTAATATATATATGGTTCCAATCAGTAGGGTTATTTGACAGCATGGGATTAACTTCCACTGTTATGCTGATGATACCCAGCTAAATATGTCTATAAATCCAGATGAAGCTAACCCATTACATAGATTACAGGCATGTATTGAAGACATAAAAACCTGGATGACCCTTAACTTTCTGCCTCTGAATGTAGACAAAACAGAAGTTATAGTCTTTGCACAAGAGTCTTTAAACAAGAAGTTAATTAGTCAAGCACTTTATTTGGACGGGATGAAACGTATTTCAGACAATAAAGTAAAACACCTTGGTGTCATTTTTGATCAGGACCTGACATTTAAATCCCATATCAAAGAGGTTTCTGGAATGTCCTTCTTTTATCTGTGGAATAACAAATTAGAAATATCCTGTTCAGGGTGATGCTGAGAAACTAGTCTATGAATTTGTTACTTCAAGGCTGCACTATTGGAATTTCTTACTATCAGGGAGTCCACAAACTGTAGTTTAAAGCCTTCAGCTGATCCAAAATGCTGCAGCCAGAATTCTGATGAAAATTAAAAACAGAGATCATATCTCTCCTATCCTAGCTTCTCTTTAAAAGCCTCCAACACACATATGAAGCCTTAAATGGCCATCTTATATCCGAGAAATGATTGTTCCTTATGTCCCAAACTGAGGATGTAACACTCAATCTGCAGATTTATTAGCAGCTTTTTGACAAAGCTTATACAGTCCTGCTCACCATTACTGGCATCCCATAGACTTGTTCTACTGTTTTTCCAGTGTAGTCCTGTTTCTCTGACTGTGACTGGCTGGATGTGCTGTCTTCATCCTCTGACATGGGAGTTGGCTAAGAGCTAGTCTACCTGGCTGTGTGTTTTTCCTGGACATGGCCGCCTTTTACAGCTGCTTTTTGTATCTCTGCCTCTGTCTCACTGAACCCCAGCCGGCCTCAGCAGATGGCCACTCACACTGAGCATGGTTCTACCAGAGGTTTCATTCTGTTAAAAGGGAGAATTTTCTCTCCACTGTCGCTACAAGCATGCTTAGTGTGAGGGATTGCATCTGAGTCAATGAGTGAATTGAATCAATTGATGTTCCTTAGATAGAAAACTTTGATTCAATTTGACTGTATGATCTGGTGAACTGTAAAGTGCCTTGAGATTACATGTGTTGATAATTGGCGCAATATAAATAAACTGAATTGAATTGGATAAAAGAGGAGCAGTGGAAGACAAAGAAATTCCCCAGAATGACACAAAATGTTCAATGACTTTGAAAGGATCTCAACCACTGCACGGCTCTTCATCAGATCCTCACCCAATGCTCCAAACTAGATTACAGGATATCATGACCCAGACCATCAGAGGATGCTTTCACTATTTAGGAACATTTCAAAGCAAGCATAAGCAGACAAAACCAATGACATTTTCACAGGTTGTAGAGTTTGGTGTGAATCGTCCAATTGATTAAATTAGTAAAATGTAAGAACATTATTTTAACTCTGGAAAGAAGAATTAAATCATAATATAATCAGAATCAGAATTACTTTATTAATCCATGGCAGGAAATTATTTTCTTGCAGTGCCCCCATTTACATGAGAGAAAAGAATTGTTCAGGATAATGCTGCAACCCCGTACTTAAATTTAACTCATTCTTTCATGTTTCCTGCTTATTATTGAATAAATCAAGAGAGGAATTTGAAAAAGAAATAAACGTTAACGTGATCAAAGCAGTAAAGAAGAAATCAGACTTTAGCCTGAAGATCCTCAACGTGGATCAGTAGAATATCAGCCACATGTCTGCAGTTTAGAGTCAACACAATTTTACCCTCAGAAATATCAGCACTTAACTAAAAGGTGGTGATTTACCTCAATTTTTGTAGTTTGCAGAGGGGAGACTGGAGAAAACAACAGAGCTGCTTCACTCCACCATCTTTCAGGTCGTAGTTGCCGCTCAGGTCCAGTTCTGTCAGGTTTGAGGGGTTGGAATTCAGAGCTGAGACCAGAGAAGCACAGCTGATCTCTGATAAACTGCAGTGAATCAATCTGAATAAAGAAGAAAAAACACATTGAAGCATCTGGAGGAAAAGGTTAAAACTCAGCTGGCTGGGAACTGAATATAACAGTTATTCACAGCATCAATATGCCGCCCAACCTGGATAGGCATTGAACTTAAAATCACAACAGGGTTGACAGTATTCTGACCTAATCAGAACCAGAATAAAGGAAGGCAAGAAGAACCAGAGACAATGAGACTAATGAAAAGCTGTTTTCCAGGGTCAGATGTTTTGGAAAGGAAACCAGACTCATTTAGGTTCAAGGTTCCATTCTCAGGAAACATGGCATTTCCTTTCACTGTTATGCTGATGACAGCCAGATGTATGTCCCCCTCAAAAAGGCTGATTCCTACTCTGTTGAACCACTGTTAAAGTGTTTACATGACCTTAAAGCTTGGATGTCTTTAAATTTTCTGAATTTTAATGAAGAAAAGACAGAAGTCATGGTCTTTGGTGGCACATCTGTGACCCCCCCCCCCCCCCCCCCCCCCCCCCCCCCCCCCCCCCCCAGTTGATCTCAGTTCTCTAGCGCAATATTGTAAACCAATTATAAGAAACCTCGGGGTGGACTAAAAGTGGAGTCAGACCTTAAATTTGACAGCCAGATAAAAGCTGTAGTAAAATCTAGCTTTTTCCAGCTAAGGCAGCTGGCAAAGATCAAACCAGTCCTTCAGAGACAGCACTTTGAGACAGTAATCCACGCCTTTGTGACCACTCGGCTGGATTACTGTAATGCACTTTATGTGGGGAATGCTGGGTCCTCAATTGCTCGTCTTCAACTGGTTCAAAATGCTGCTGCACGTCTTTTAACTGGCACACGCAAGTACGAGCACATTTCACCTATTTTAGCTTCACTCCACTGGCTGCCCATCCATTTTAGGATTCATTTTAGAATTCTTTTATTTACTTTTAAAGCCTTGAATGGCCTTGCCCCAATTTACCTCTCTGAGCTTCTGCACCCCTACACTCCCAGCCGATCTCTCAGGTCAGCTGATCAGCTGCTCCTGACAGTGCCTAAAGCAAGGCTTAAAGGAATAGTACACCCAAAACATGATTAGCCTTCATTTTCTACTCACCCCCATGCTGAACAACACTCTGGGGTACTTTTTTGATATCTCAAATGCATCTGGAGATCTGGGAGGCTTCTTGCTGTCTGCTGACATTCACATAGGTCTACGGTGCCCGAAACAGAAAGGTCCATAAAAGTCCACAAAAAACGTGTCAATATTCCTCCATACTGCTCGTCCAATGTATTCCAAGTGTCCTGAGTGGGTAGCATCCAGAATTTACTCGAAACAAAGTAATTTAGAATGTTTTTAGAGCATAAACAGTAGACGGCTCAGACGGGATTGAGCGTTTTCTGTTGCAGCTCCAAAACTTTGGAATGCATTGCTGCTGCACATTAGAAAGGCCACCTCTCTGTCTCATTTTAAAACTCTTCTTAAAACCCACCTCTTTTCTTTGGCTTTTAACACCATGTAGAGTATTGATTTTATGTACACATGTTGATTTTATGTACACATGTTGATTTTATGTATACACATGCATATTTTTATCCTGTGCGGGCAGTGCTTTTATTTTATTTTATTTACTTTTATTTATTTTAGTTATTTTATCTTTTTGTGCAGCACTTTGGAAACCTTGTGTTTATTTAAACCACACTGTAAGCAATTGCTGTAAATTTACAGCAAATTTTCAACACTAAAATACTGTTTTCATGTTTAACAGTTCAGTACTGTAATAAGCAATGCATTGTGGGCTTCTTAACTTGGAGCAACAGGATAGAGGCCGTAAACGGTATGCGGCTGTTTTAAATAACGGGATACTACAGTATTTTCTGAAAAATTTCCAGAAGACGACTGCAGAACACACAACGTGCTACCATCTGTCTTCATCAAAACGATTCCAGCCTTGCATCTAAAAAAATCTAACGGTACGTAAATCAAAATCTTTTTTTCTTTGCCTCTGTGTTTGCTATTTTATTTATATTGCCAAGAATGTTTGATATAGGCTAACGCTCAGGAGTTTGTCTAGCTAGGCTATATGTAAGATATCAGTGATGCTTAGATTTGAATAGGGTAGTCAATATTCTACTATATTCTACTCTACTTCTCTACTATTTTGTTGTTGTTGTTGTTGTTAAATCTTGGTTAACTATAATATACAGTAGCCGGATGACAGCTTACACACACGCATGCACACCCCCCAACACACACACGCACACACACAGGGTATTGGACCTCATTAGAATCCCATTTGCTGTCACTTTACTCCACTCTGATCTTAGACTATTTTGACGATTTTAGGCGCTTCATAGGTATAAATCCAGAGAGAAGGACAAAGGCCAAAAGGGGGAAGGTTGTCTCCAAAAAGAAAAGTGTGATCGTCCAGAAGAAGTCTTCCACAGTCAACACACACGTCTCCATGCTCCTGAAGAAACTCCTTGACTTTGAATGGGACTTCACATAGATCAGTGAGTACTCCTTAATCTTGCTGTCTGTCCATGTGTTGTTTTGACAATCTGGCATTGCCACATTAAGCCACAACAATTTATTAGTTTTATAAGCATTAGCTTGGAGAGTATATTGTACATTCCTGATTGTATAATATTTGTTTGTTATTGTTTGACAGTGGCTCCACTAGAATAATACTGCAGAGGAACAGTGGCTAACAAACTGAACATCTCTCCTGGATCCACAAGATTTGAATCAGGGTGGTTCACACCCACCCAGATTCCCGGGAATACTACTACTACTACCTCACAGGACTACTTTAAGAAGTAAAGTGCAGTTTCTTCCCTAAATGTTCTCTTTTATCCATATTACTGTAATGATGTATAAATCACATGTTCTAACTGTACTGTAATAGATTTGAAATGGCCTTGATGCACTTTTTCTAAATGTTCTTACGTTTGTTTTCCACATGTTGTCAATTCTGCATACAGTATTCTGCATTTTCACAGACATCAGAAAATACATTGCAGATTACATAATATACATGTTTTTAGTGGAGTTTAGAGGAAAATTGTAATCTATCTCACAGGACTATTTTAAGAGGAAAAACACATGCTGGTTTGCTGAATGTTTTTACTCATAATCAAAAAGGTCTTAATGTTCCTACTTTAAGGTAGTCTTAGTAATGTTTAAACTTTTATTTCCTCTGTATTTGTTGTGTTGGTGTGTAAAAGACAATGTTAAATAATATTGACATTGGCTCAAAGTCAGCTAGTCAGCTGTTTCTGTTTGCTACTTGAAATATCTTCTCAGCATCACCCAACACGGTTTATTTTCTGGGGGGTTTTTCTCAATTTTTTGAAAGTAACAATATTCAATATTATATTGCCTTTTGAAATAAATTATTTTGATTCTTTTTGATTTGATTGCTTATTTTGCACAATATTCATAATAATACTTGAGCAACTGTCTGTAGAATAATGAAGTTCTTATATTGATTGCATGTATTCAAGGTTGATATTTTAGGAAACTGCTAAACTGAATTATTGTGTATCTACTGTGCCTCTCTACAGTAAACTTAAACAGAATATTATTGTAATTTCCAAATAATAGAAATATGATGCATTTATTTTTATATGTATTAGACAGTGAAATCATTAAACAGTGAGAAAACAGACTACTACTGTAAAGTCAATTTACGGTATGAAAACCCTAAAATTACAGTATATCGCTGGTGTCCTAGCTGCCAGCTCTTTACCGTAACTCATAGAAATACAGAAATATACCGTATTTCTGGTTTACGGTCTACTACTGTAAAATCAATTTACGGATGAATACCGTAAAAATAACGGTATATTGCTGGCGTCTCTGCTGCCAGCTCTTTACTGTTATTTTACAGGACAATTATTTACAGTGCATGCTATATAAATGAAGTGGATTGGATTAGATTGGAAGGTTATTTATCATCCCTCCAATTGGTCCAAACTGTCTGAATCCTGTTTTCCTAAAGTTTCATGTAAATCCCTCCCAGATGTTTGAGTGTTAGGTAGTGAAATTATTTGTCTGACCAGAACAGACAGAACATTAGAAAAAACTGCACCTGTTCTCCTCAAGGATTAATAAATGGAACTAGTGTGCTGTAATCAGACAGACAGACATCTTGGGAGGAAACTGGAAAAAGAAATAAACTAGATCGAAGCAGTGAAGAATAAATCAGATTTTAGCTTGAAGATACTCAGTGTGGATAAGTAAAATATCAGCCATATGTCTGCAGTTTAGAGTCAACACAACTTTACCATCCAAAATATTAGCAGTAAACTAAAAGATGGTGACTCACCTCAATGACTGTAGTTTGCAGAGGGGAGACTGGAGAAAGCCACGGAGCTGCTTCACTCCACCATCTTTCAGGTCTTTGTTGTTGCTCAGATCCAGTTCTGTCAGATGGGAAGGGTTGGACTTCAGAGCTAAGTCCAATGAAGCACAGCTGATCTCTGACAAATTGCAGCTCCTCAATCTGAAAAAAGGATAAAAGGTGTGTTGAAGCAGATGCAGGTAAAAACTAAAATAATGAAAAAAACAAAGACTAAAAATGTAGAAAAATAATTTTACTGAAAGCTAAAGTACCAGAAAAATTCTAAACTTAAAGTTGTAAACCAAGCACAACCAGAACATGCTCTAATGACATGTGAAGGTCCAGATCAAGGTGTGTTTATTAGTCTCCTCCAGGGAAATATTGTTTTGGATAAAGAGCAGAGCTGCAACACAATCCACAACCAGAACAACACAAGCAGCAAGATGAAATAGATTAGATAAAGTTCAGAGGAAAAGTCTTCAAACACATCCCAGCATTTATCTTGGGTTCTGTTCATCTTGTGCAAACCGGTCGCTTCCTAGTTGGATTGAAGGAGGACTAAATAAATGTTTAATATGGTTGTGTTTCCATAAAGAACCCTGGATCTTTTCCCTGACTTCATTCAAACACTCTGATAACAAGTTACACACATGTGCTTTCTTCTCTTGCAGACTTTCCCCAGCAGAGAGAAATTATGACATTGGAGACCGAGAGCTTTTAGCCATAAAGCTAGCACTTGAGGAGTGGAGACACTGGCTAAAGGGAGCGGCTTACCCTGTTTTGGTATGGACAGACCACAAGAACCATTCAGTCAGCCAAGAGACTTAACCCTTGTCAGTCCAGCTGGTCTCTGTTTTTCTCTCAGTTCAACCTCTCCATTTCCTATCTTCAAGGATGTGGAAACATTAAACCTGGTGCTCTCTCTAGACAGTTCGCCCCTGACGAATCTGAGAAGTCTCCTGCTCCCATTACTCCTCCTAGCTGTTCAGTCGCGGAAGTCACATGGGAGATTGAGGACCTTGTTAAGCAGGCTCAGCAGTCTGAGCCAGACCCTGGTACAGGTCCACCTAACAGAATTTTTGTCCCTTCACCTATTTGTGCATGAGTTATTAACTGGATCCATACTTTTAAGTTTTCTGCTTATCCAGGTATCAGTCGAACTGTGGCTCTCATTAATCAACGTTTTTGGTGGCATGTTGTCTCATCAGCTTTCTGCCGGATTACTTCAGCCTTTGCCCATTCCCAAGAGACCCTGGTCTCACATTGCGATAGATTTCATCACTGGACTACCCACCTCTAAAGGTATGACCACCATTCTCAACATTATCGACTGTTTCTCTAAGGCCTGCCACCTCGTTTGGCTGAGGCAACTTCCCACAGCTCTACAAACAGCCCAACTCCTTGTTAAGCACATTTTCCACCTTCATGGGATTCCCCAAGACATCCTCTCAGATACAGGTCCCCAGTTCATCTCTCAGGTTTTGAAGGGTTTTTGTTCGGCCCTCGGGGCCAAAGTCTCACTCACTTCTGGCTATAATCCCCAGTCTAACGCTCAAGTCGAGCGCATTAACCAGGAGTTGGAGGCCAGCCTCAGAGGTCTGTCATCTTTCAACCCTACCGATTGGAGCCAGTTTCTCCCATGGGTCGAGTATGCTCACAACACCCATGTCTCATCTGCCACCGGACTCTCCCCTTTTGAGGTCTCTCAGGGATATCAGCCTCCCCTTTTTCCAGCCAAGGAGGCTGCCATTGCTGTTCCCTCTGTTCAGCACTAAATCCGCCGCTGCAGGGCCGTCTGGAATAGAACCGCTGCGGCTCTCGGACGATCGGTTGAACTCAACCGTAGGAGGGCTGACCGCAGTAGGAGGGTCACCCCTACGTTTTCTCCGGGCCAAAAAGTATGGCTCTCCACTCGTGATATCGCCTTGAAGGCCATCTCTAGAAAGATGTCTCCATGCTTCATCAGTCCTTATGAGGTGGAAAGGACCATCGGCTCATCCGCTTTCCGTCTCTGTCTCCCCTCCACTGTCAGAATTCATCCCACCTTTCACATCTCTCAACTGAAACCTGTTTTTTCCAGGCCCTTGTGCCAACCTGCTGAGCCCCCTGCCCCCTTGGATATTGATGGTCACCCTGCCTACACGGTCCGCTGGATTGTTGACGCCCGTCACCATGGACGTGGGTGGCAGTACCTTGTTTTCCGGCGAGGGTAAATAGTCCTGAGGACCGCTCCTGGATCCCTGGATCCTTTATTTTGGACCCATCCGGGGTGGTGGTTGTTGAGGGGGGTACTGTTAGGAATCCAGTTTGTGTGGGTTGTTTTTTGTGTTTGTCTCTCCCTCCACCACCAGGTGGTGCCCTGTACTTATTGGCCCCCCTGCACAACTGTTGGTTCGTTGGTTCATCATTGAGGAGTATTTGAGCCGTTGACTGCCACTACCTCGATGCCAGAGTGTTTGCCAGGTTTGGGTACTCTAGCCAAGCTGAGATCAGCTGAGTCTAACCTGAGCCATTGTTTCACTGAGTTTTAACATTGTTTTTTTGTCTTTGCCTTTCTGCAGGAAGCCTTCCTATAATCTAGATGTTTGGCCTTCTCCCCCTGGAACGATCCTTTGTGTTCAAACTGAGCAGGGGAAAAACCTCCACACACTCGTTCAAATCCAATTGGCAGTCCACTCAATTGCTCCTCAGGGTCCAACCAAAACCCACCTGTCTGTGCTCCAATTAGTTGCCCTTCTTCTGAATAAACCCACACCTTCTGGTTTCTGTATTCATGGCCTCAATCCAGTTTCCTATGGCCCCTGAATGTGGGTCAGATCACTTAAAAGCATCATGACAGTTTGTGTATTCACTTCACCTTGCTAACTGTCCCTGTTGTAATCCAAATAACCTGTGCTATGACCAGCTCTTCTACATGAGACTGGATAAAGGCTGAAACAAAATGGAGAGCAGACCTTTTTGCAGGAATATATTAATAAGTCATCTCTAAATCTATTGAACAACCAGATATCATACGGGTCCTAGTTCCTGAGCTGAGAAAAGGTCATAACCATGCTTTTCCAAAAAGGCAAGGCAGAGCATATTTATATTGTCCATTCACCAAAAGACTTGTTTACATTGCAAAGCTCACTTTTGAAAGAAAGAACAACTTAGAGAATAATTTTATTTTATCTTGTCTCTCCTTTTCATGTCATTCAACATTTCAGCTTAGAAAATGTCAGAGTATGATTTTAGTATAGCAGTGGCATTTATTTATCACAAGGAAAAGTACTACATATGAAGCTACACTGTTCAATTTAGCAGTTTTCACAAACCCAAGGTGAGTCCTTCCTGGATTTGTGACAGGTATACAGTGCACACAACGCTCCGTGCTGGGGTTCCTGTTACAGGTATTGCACACCTTACCTGCTAATAATAAGAATGAAAAAATCTCAAAAATAGACATTAGCACATATTGTGAAAGTAAGAGTTGTAGTATGAACCAGATTAAGTTTTCTATGTATCCTACAAGTTTGGAGGTAATACAATGATTTATAGTGTACTTATTGGCTATATGCTTATAATAACAATACAAAAATCTCCAAAAATACAGTTTGGCCTATCTTCCGAAAGTAAGCATTGTAGTATGATCCAGATGAAGTTATCTATGTATCCTACAAGTTTGGAGGCACTACAATGATCTATAGTGTAGTTGTCAGGACTCTGCCTTCTCCACAGGTGTTCCAGGTTGACTGGTGAGTGGAGCATGCACATCTGCAGGTGGTTTTGCAGCACCGGGGCACTCTATAAGAACTGCGCTCAGACAGCGGGAGGACGCCTGAGTGTTACCGTAGTGGTATGCTAACCTACCACGGTCTCTAGCCTTGGTCAGCTCTTTGAGTATTAAATCTTACCTTTTTGTCTCCCAGTTACCTCCTCATGTTCAGATCCATCCTCTTGAGTTCTCGTGATCCCTCACCTTGTGGATTCCTCTGTGTGTTTCCCCCAGTTCCTTCCGAGTTGGTTCCCCCCTCTGGACCCATCTCCCTCACGGGCATCCAGCTGTTTCCTTCCGCTGTTCTGAATTCCTGGATTTTCCCAGTGCTGCTAGGACCCTCTCCGGATTCCGCTCTCTGGTCACCTGGACAATCGGCATCACCTTCTTCAGGCAAGCACTGAGTCCAATCCGCTTCCTCCCCAGTTCGGCTTTCCCCGCTCTTAGGTAAGCGTTCGTCCAGCTGCACATTCCTCTCTGCTCTGTCCGTGGTTAACCGCCCCCTCACTCTCTTAGACGTACCAAGGCTCCGGTTCCTTGTGCTGTGCTCCGGTCTGCTGAAGCAGATTCCCCCTCGTTAAAGCACTCAATAAATCTCTTAAAAGATCTGCCTGTTTCCAAGTGTATTCTGCATGTGGCCCAAACACATCAATCCAAACATGACAGTAGTCATTGCTCATTTAATACTATTCTAATAATAAAATAGAGGTGCCGATAGTCATTTAGGATTTGGGAAATTTTCTCAAAAGTTATTATTTTCGAATCCAATAAATGTGATATGAAAGACATGAGATGAGATACACCTGAAATGAATTTGACAATAATCCACTGCTCCTTTGTGACGCTTTTGAATATTTCTCTCTAATTATTTTGCAGCTGGCAGATGGTCCCCAAGCATTTGCGAAGGAGCGAGCTCTGCATTTTGACCAGTCTAATTCTCCCAGTGTAATACCAGATACTTTTCGAGGAAACTATGGTTGTAGCTCGCTGTCTGCCTTGCCGTGGTTCCGGAGAGGTGTCCGTTTTGTAGAATAAATCATCCACCAATGAGTTATTAATCTGAAAAAGACGAATCTATAAATATATTGCCAACTTTACTGCAGTCTCACGATGCTGCCTGCACGGCTGCAGCAAAGGAGAGAGGAGAGATCGCTTGAGTTATATTTGCCCCCTAGTAAATTTGTCATTATTTCATCAGATGGTCATCAGATGTTCATTACTGTATAAATATCCTTGCTTTCCCTCTCTACAGCATTCCAGCTCATGCAGCTATTTTCATTGTACAGATCAGTTATCGTTTGATGCTGGGCTGATGACATAGACCTAGTTACATTTCATCTCAAATATGATTTTTTTCCCCACCTTCTCCCAGGTAAAGAGAGCAGGGGGGAAAGATAGACTTTAGCTAAAACCAAAACTGAAGGGGATGAAATGGTTCTCCAACCACAGCGCTAATGGGGAATTTACTTATTTAAAAAGGATTCATGAGTTGTGAAGTACTGTTGGGGGGACTGGAGGCTGATGAAAATTCTCATATCTCTGGGGCTTCTAGTGTTAAAATTGACTTTAACAAGTAAAACAGTGGCATCTCTTGAGCTTTATTCCTGGCTCCAGCACCATATCTTTTTTTTTTTTTTTTGAGCGCAGTTCAATTCATCAAAAACTTTATTAATCCTGAAGGGATATCAGTTGCAGTAACTCATAAGATTTCATTTCTAACCAGTTGTTGTAGGTGTTGGCAGGAAATGATCAGGAATGATCTTCTGTAGCGGTCTGTCTGGCACTGGATCTGGACCTCTTTAGTTTCCATAGAAACCCATACCCATCTCCACCTGAATGACTGATGGCTAAGCTGAGCAATGGGAGTTATTGTGCCATATGCCATGATCATGGTTTTTGGACATTGGGAACCAGTATTCGTATTTCCTTTTGACATGATGATTAGAGAAGAAGACACAATTTTACAAGCAACTGTAATATCTCTGCACCCCCCCTTAAGTCAACTGCCTCCACAGAAACTCCCACAGAGGTGTGATTTGCCACCCCCCCCTCTGTGTTAAGGACATTGAAACCATACAAAACACTGGATTTAAGTTTTCTTTCTCATGTAGCTTTCTGAGGGTCCATGTCGGAGGGGCTCCACCAAAATTGAGATCCTGGCAAACATCCAGATCTCTACAGTGATCAAGGATAAGTCACCATGGTTGACCTTTCAGAACCAGACTGCAGAAAAACAGACTTTTTGCAACACATTTCTCTTGAGTTTCAGAACTTAGAGAGGCAGAATGGAGAACCCCTGGATCTTGTGAGCCTCTGTGATTCACTGCTGGATGAAAACTCAAGCCTTCCAAATGGACATGGACAAAAGGTTTGCAGGTCTGGCACAATTAGGGACAGAACAAACAATGTCTTTTGATGATTTTGATCAGTTCATGTGTTTAGTGATGAGTAAAGACAAAGCTAACAGCATGGACCGCATGATATGCTACAATAATATGCTTTCAGCTGTTGTTGAAGCTTGGAAAAGCTTTGTTTCACTAAGGGTTTAAACACTGACATGACATTAGTGTCCATGTGGTCCTCATATGCTGTTTACATTTTGGTTACCAATTATGACCAAGACTCATCTAATGGAATCATCTTTCTATTTGCTGCTAGCTATTTCAAAGAGGGTAAAGAATCATTTAACTAAAGGTTATTGGTTCCTGATTAAGCAAATTATTTAATAAATAATTATTATTTAATAAGATTATTTCGCCAAATAATGTTTTATTCACCACATGGATTTGCATTGTGAATTGCTCTGAAAACATTCCCTTTTCTCTAAATTATTGAAAAGCTAATTTGATCATATCCCAAATTCATCCAGATAAACTTTGGTTTTCAAACTAAACTTTAGTTTAGTTGAGTTTCACTAGTTTTAGTTAAAAGTTTTAAACTTAAATATGTTTGATTTGGAGCTGAATGATTTTTGTTAAGAAACTTGTATAGTTTGAACAGAAGTTGTGGTGAATTTATTCCATGTATGTGCAGAATTAACTCTTTGACCATGATTTAACCTCAAATTACTCTTTCATTTATTGTCCTAAAAAACAGCTAGTAGGCATGTGTTCATTAACAATATATAACAGCTGAAATAATATCTGATTAAATAAGATATTTACCACACCTGCCGGAGAGGGCTATACACATCTTAAACTATCAGAAATATAAAGTACCAGCTAGCTGGGAACTGAATATAACAGTTATTCACAACATAAATATGGCATCCAACCTGGATAGGCATTGAACTTAAAATCACAACAGGGTTGACAATATTCTGACCTCATCAGAACCAGAATGAAGGAAGGGAAGAAGAACCAGAGCCAATGAGACTAATGAAAAGCTGTATTCCAGGGTCAGGTGTTTTTTGTAAGGAAACCAGACTCATTAAGGTTCAAGTTTATTTATCATCCCTCTTATTGCTCCAGACTGTGTTTTTTTTTCCTAGTTTCATGTAAATCACTCCCAGATGTTTGATTGTTAGGTAGTGAAATCCTTTGTCTGACCAGAACAGACAGAACATTAGAAAAAACTGCATCTGTTCTCCTCAAGGATTAATAAATGGAACTAGTGTGCTGTAATCAGACAGACAGACAGACAGCTTGAGAGGAAGTTTGAAAAAAAAAATAAACTAACTGGGTCGAAGCAGTGAAGAAGAAATCTGATTTTAGCTTGAAGATACTCAGTGTGGATCAGTAGAATATCAGCCATATGTCTGCAGTTTAGTGTAAATGCAATGTTACCATCACAAATATCAGCACTAAAGTAAAGGATGGTGACTGACCTCAATGTCTGTAGTTTGCAAAGGGGAGACTGGAAAAAACCACAGAGCTGCTTCACTCAGCTATCTTTCAGGGTGGTGTTGTTGCTCAGGTCCAGTTCTGTTAGATGGGAGGGGTTGGACTTTAGAGCTGAGACCAGAGAAGCACAGCTAATCTCCGACAAACTGCAGTTCCTCAATCTGAACAAACAATAAAAGACGTGATGAAGCAACTGGAGAGACAGTTTAAAACTAAAATAATGAATAAAGATTTGTGACAATAATGTGACTGAAAGCTAAAGTCTCAGAAAAACTTAAAGTAGTAAACCAAGCAGAACCAAAACATTTTTTAATGACGTGTGAAGGTCCATGTTAAGGTGTGTTTATTAGTCTCTTCCATGAGAAGTCTGTGTTGGACAAAGAGAAGAGCTGCAACACAATCCACAACCAGAAAAACACAAGCAGAATCAACTGCAAGAAGAAATAGATGACAAAAAGTTCAGAAGACTCAGAGGAGTCTTTTAACACATTCCAACATTGGATGTATTGGTAGGATATTTATCATTAATGATTTCTGAGTTCATTACTCCTCAATATTAGCTTGCTGTTCCAGTTAGAAGTTAGAACAGTTCCAGTTAGAACTGATGCTTTCCACAACAGTTTATCTAATTAAGACATTTCCTCTGTCCAGATATACAGTTTTAATTTTCATTCTATATGTGGTAAAGATTTGAGAATGGAATGAGAATGGTGTCCTTCAGCTAAGAACAAATTGTAATATTTTGATAAGGTTGGAGCAATGGATGTCTCCTCATCTGCTATTGTGTGTGATGTAATGATGTGATAATGTGTCAAACTAGAGATATATAAAATGCCTCCTTAACTGTTAAACAGGGCCACCCTCTGAGAGGTGGGCCCGGTGTGCAGCTGTCTTCTGTAATTCTAGACAACTTCTCTGATTTGAGTAAGATTACAATTTCTATCAAAATCTGTTGTCATGTCTCAGTTTTATTCAATACATATAAGTTATGAAGTGTTATTTACGTGTTTGTCCCAAGTGATCTCTTGTCATGGAAAAGAACCGGAGAGAAAAAGCTCCAAGGTGTAGACACAGAGAGCCTTTAATAGACTTCACAAAAAGCAGGCTAATGTAACACAAATCTGATCTTATTTAATGTCTGAACGGCCGGGTTCTGATCCGTTCACCTAAAAAAGACGATACGAGCCATGTCAATATGTGGACTAAATGGGATGCAGTATCCGAGCAAATGACTTAAAAAGGCTTAACACTAGATGTTTCAGAGAATTCCAGTTTTCCTGCAAGCCCCCCTCCCCTCTTCAAGTTAGTGTATTCACTCTACCTTGCTAACTGTCCTTTTTGTAAGGCAAATTACCTGGGACATGACCAGCCCTTCTACAGGAGACTGGATAAGGCTGAAACAAACTGGCATCAGAACAAGAGCATGCTCCAAACACTTTTCATTACCTTCCCCTACAACATCAGACCTTTTTGCAGGAATAGCTTGATAAGTCATATCTAAATCTTTTATTTAGGCAAACCTATTGAACAACCAGATATGATTTGGGTCCTAGTTCCTGAGTTGAGAACAGGTCGTAACCATGCTTTTCCAACAAGGCAAGGCAGAGCCTATTTATATTGTCCATTCACCAGCAGACTCATTTAATTTGCAAAGTTCTCTATGTGAAAGAAACTTAGAGAATAACTGTGTTTTGTCTGTTCTCGCCTTTTCATGTCATTCAACATTTCAGCTTAGGGAATGACAAAGAGTATGATTTCAGTATAGCAGTGACATTTATTTCACCCAAGTAAAAGCACTACATATGAAGCTACAATTGTCTCATCTAGCGGTCTTTACAAACCCAAAGTTAGTCCTTCCTGCATTTGTGACAGGTATACTTTATGCAGTGCACACAACGCTCAGTGCTGTGGTTCCTTTTGCGGAGATTACACACCTGGCCTCCTTATAATGAAAATGAATGAAAATGAAAAAATCTTTAAAAATAGAGTTTAGCACATTTTCCCAAAGTAAGAGTTGCAGTATGAACTAGATGAGGTTATCTATGTGTGCTACAAGTTTTGTGCCACTACAATGATCTATAGTGTAATTATTGGCTATTATATGCTTATAATAACAATAAATAAATCTCCAAAAATACAGTTTGGCCTACAGTTTTATGTTAAAGCTGTAAATATACAGTCATATGTTTATATAACTATTTTTTTATGTATTATTGTTTTCGAAGCTGCACTTTAAAATATGAAATTGTCTAGAGCTGTTCTAAACGAAATTTCTTTTTGTTTACACTTGTGTACACAAAATGAAAAATAAATCTGTCTAAGTCATAAGTAATTATTGGCTTTTTTATTCTTATAATAACAATGGAAAATCTAAAAATATAGAGTTTAACACATTTTCCCAAAGTAAGGGTTGTAATGTGAACTAGATGAGGTTATCTGTGTTTGGAGGCACTACAATGATTTATAGTGTAAATATTAGCTATTATATGCTTATAATAAAAAAATAAAAAATCTCCAAAAATTAAGTTTGGCCTATCTTCCCAAAGTAAGAGTTGTAGTGTGAACTAGATGAGGTTATCTGTGTATCCTACAAGTTTGGAGGCACTACAATGATCAATAGTATAGTCATTACTCATTTTATATTTATTCTAATAATAAAATAGAGGTGCCATTTGTCATTTAGGCTTTTGGAAATTCCTCAGAAAAGTATTATTTTCTAATCCAATACATGTGATACTAATCCACCTCTCCTTGGTGACGCTTTTGAATATTTCTCTCTGATTATTTTTAAGCTTGCAGAGTTCACTTCTCCTGCGCATTTCTGGAGCATTGAGCTCCCCATAGGATCCAATGTAGTTCTCCCAGCACGATAGGAGACTCGCTTTTAGGAAACTACAGTTGTAGCTCACTGTCTGCCTTGCTCTAGTGTCTGTTTTGTAGAATAAATAATCTGCCAACGAGTTATTAATCCGTAAAAGCCTTGAGTTATATTTCCCCCTAAATAAATAATGGTCATTATTAAATAAATATTTTTGCTCTCTACAGCGTTCCAGCTCATCCAGCTATTTTCATTGTACAGATCAGTTATCATCTGATCGCTGCGCTGGTGGCTCCGCTGAAATCATTGCAGTGTTGGTGACACTGATGACGTAGACCTAGTTATATTTAATTACAAATATGATTTTTTTTTCTCCCCCTGCTCTCAGGTAAAACAGTCTCAAAGAGAGAGACTTGAGCTAAAACGGAAACTGAAGGGGGTGGAATGGTTCTCCAGCCACAGCGCTAATGGGGCATTTACATCTGAAAAGGGATTCATGAGTTGATAAGTACTGCGGGGGGACTGGAGGCTGACGAAAATTCTATTATCTGTGGGATTTCTAGCGTTAACAAGCTGATAAAGAAGGTCGGCTCTGTTCTAAGAACTCCTCTGGAACCTCGGGAGATGATTTCACAAAGAGGAAGATTATGGACAACAGTGAGCATCCTCTTCAGACCTGGTACTGAGAGCACAGAAATGAATAGAATTTCAGCAGCCTGACATTTCTGCTTCAAATCTCCTTTTCTCATCTCTGCAGAAAATAATGAGTCATTTTATCTCCATCATTAGATTGATTCTAGGAAAGTGTAAAACCAGAGGATCCAGGTTAACAGGAGCGTAGTTGGAGCACTGTCTGTGCACTGCCTCATCAAATACTGACTAGACTTCTCTGCTCAATGTTATCACAACCAGAACGCTTAACACTTGGACTGTAGAACCCATTAGTAGTACTGTAGTCATCCCTATTAGAACCCATGACATTACTGTCTCTGTTGGGATCTGGAGGTCTGTCCACTTTCTCCACCAGAGGGTGTACTAGATCTCCTGGAGCCGGAGCTGATTGCAACCACCTGTCGATCATCTGCTCATCAGGAGATCTGTATTTAAGGAGGCAGAGGACTTCTCTCCTGTGCCAGAGTGTTTGCCAGTTACAGTTAGCAAGGCTGAGCCAACCTGCCTGTCTGAATCTCTCTCTCCCTGAAAACCAGAACCTGAACCTGATCTGTTTTCTCCTCTCTGCTTCCTAGATTGAACCTGTCTGAAACCTGAAACCCAGAAGAGTATCTCTGCCGTTAATCTGCCTGTCTGTTCTCTGAAGAACAATGGAAAACTATTCCTGTCAGAGACCTGCCTGCCCGCTCTCTGAAGAAACCGGAAGGGAAACTCTAATCGGTTATCTGCCAACACTCAAACCAAGCTCTGCCTCTGCCTAGCCCTCAGCCTGCCGACAGCCTCTGGACCCTCAAGGTTCCCCCCTCAGCCGCTCAGCTCAACTCCTGTACAGGAACAGCCCTGCACACTCTCATCCTGCAAATTACCTGGACCTCCACTAACTCCTCTGTTCCCCTCTGCAGTGAACCCACTCGTGACCAGTCCTGGACCTGTTAACTCTGTGTGCATTTCAAAACCCACTTGTGACCAGACAAGTTACCCTTGGGATCTGTTTATTTATTGTATTCCATCTTCTAAATAAACCTTTGAACTTTTATCCTGTCTCGGAGTGTTCTGCATGTGGGTTAGGCACCTGAAGCCAAACATGACAGTCTCTAGATCCAGTTTTATAGAACTTCTGACCATTTTTCATTCTGATCCTCTGATGGATCACCTTTATGAACTGGATAAGCTCAGTTTGGGATCAGAGGTTCAACAACCATCCCCTAATATGATCAATCTGCTCCGTTCAACATAGGTTCTGTCCAGAACTGTCTGCCTCATCACTCTGACTACACTAATGAGTCAGGTAATGATCAAACCTATATTACACTGAATTTTAGCAAAACAGACCAATAACATCCTGCAGGCTCTATTTCCCTGTCTTGTATTAAAGGTATAGTGGAGGATTCTGCGAATTAAAAAAATCACCTCTGCCGTCTCAACTTTAATAAAAATATGCACATGCAAAACTCTGAGTCTGCACGAGCTGATTTCTCATTGTGCACGCTCTGTTTAAAAGTTACTGTTTGCATCGCTCATACAAGCTTACGTTCCAAAAGAAGATTTTGCAATATAATTTTTCCACTTTTTTCCACTTTCTTCCACTTTTTTTTATGTCAGACACACCATCGGTAAGTGAAAATGGGCATGAGCACGTAAGATGGCTTTACGTAAACTTTCAATTCAATT